TTTTGGGGCAAAAAGTAACTAGAATCTCGCTGGGCTTGCAAGAGAGCCCGACGAAGTAGCTTTTGCTGATCAATCGCACGGTCAAATGTCATTGGTCGTGAATTTGAACGCTACTTTTGAACGCCAAAGGCCACGTGAGTCACGACTTGGCTATTGCCAAGTCTTTTAATAGACAGGAAAGTGCCGACTCGTTCTAGATCAAACGGCATTAATGCAATTTTAAAGATGTCCATCGGAGCACGGTCACGGTAGGATTTTAAATTTCGAATATAAAAGAGAGTGTAGTTTAATCTTGCAAACTCCCTTAGGATTCGTGAAGCAGCAGTCGCGTGGTGGATACCACGAATAATAAATCGGCGATGCTTATTTATTTATTTTTTTTTTAACGTCTTGAATGTGGAAATTTTATTCTTAAGATTAGCGCACTGCTACCCAATTGGCAGCTTTATCTAATCAGTTATTACAATTTTTAACAATACTTAGTCTAAGCGTTACTTAGTGCAAAAAGTGATTAAATGATTTTTTATTATATTTTATTTTTATTTATGTTAATGTCGTGGATGACGAAATGGCTAGGTCAAGATCCGGTTTGGTAGGTCTTGAGGGTGGTGTCTTTTCAGTCTTCTCTTGACTCGATTACTTAGATCAGCGTTCCTGATAGCAGCGGTACCAAGTTTTTTAGCTAGGCTGTGGGGGTGCTCATTTAGTCGTTCAATGTATTTCCGAAAGTTCCTGCAGCTTGTTTCCGATTTAAGGCACGTTGAGATCTCGTTCGATGTCTCTGGGTCGCATAAACCACGGAGCTCCAGAGATCCTTCGAAGAGTTTTCGCTTGCAAAACCCGGATTTTGTTCAGGTTGGTTTTTGCAGTGATACCATAAACCTGGAGTCCGTAGAAAAGACTTGGCACTAATATGGACTTGTATATCTGCACCTTACATCCAAGTGCGAGTTTGTTGCGTGGTGTGAGGAGCCAGGACAGGCGATGTTTATTAGGGTGACGAAGAGTACATATGTGGGTCTTGTAGCCAGCTCTGTACAGTCTTGACAAAATAAGCGAGTTATCCTCTTTGGAGTAGCAGATTACTTCAGATCTGTTTAAATCCAGGAGGTTGACTATATTCTGGAGATTCCTTGATGAACAGCCACTTGGTCCAGAGAAGCGGCCATTGCTGAATCGTGATACACTATTTATTTTATTTGAGAATTAAATCGTTTGGTTACGATTGAGGTTTGCAAACGAGTGTAAATAAAAAATCACAATGGCTGACAAAAGTTGTATGTAGCTTAATGAAGCGACAACTGCGCATTAGAGTAATAAGGCGACGGCGCAGAGCGAATTTTAAGGGAGAGCATAAGTGTAGTTTAAATGCGTGTGTGTAACACACTGATCTTTGTATGTGGGAGTTCCATGCAGTAGGAGAGAGACATAGAAGGAGAACATGCCATTTGTAGTTTTGTGGTAGAGATAACATAATACATACAGCTGCGGTCAAAATAATAGTAGTGCCCATTTAGGCTTTCGAAAAAAACGAAAATAGAAGCTTTTCAAGCTATTTAGGAAAACTTTTTGAGATTTTAATTTTTATTGAAACTAACTAACAATAGATTTTTATAATTAAAATCTTGGGACAAAAAAAAAAGAAACTTTTCAGAAAAAAATAAAAATATTGAATATCACAAAAAACTTTTCGTTTGAAATAATAGTAGTGAAACTTTTCATAAAAAATCACAGCGCGAATACCATTTCTATAAAACTTTAAACGATTAGATATTATAAGCCTATGTTTTAATAAATGTTTAGTATTTAGTTGAATAGCCTTTGTTAGTAATTACAGCCGCACAGCGTTTTTTCATGGAGTTTACCAAATTTTGGCATCTTTCTTTAGGAATTGAGTTCCAGGAGCTTTCCACAACTTCCCAAAGTTGATTGCTGTTGTTCGCTTTAGCTTCTGAGACGACTTTCTTCACGTCACACCATAAATTGAGATCGGGTTACTCAGCGGGCCATTCTATAACATGGATTCGATTCGATAGTTTTTATCCAATATATGGGCCCAACACCATGGTAAGAAAAACTCGCTTATTATTGATAACCCGCCGTATTTGACCAATTGGCAAGAAAACAAAACAACGGACTCATCTGACCATAGAATGTTTCTCCACTTTTTCAAAGGCCAGTTTAAATGATCTTTGGAAAACTTTAGGCGCTTGGCAACGTGCTTTTTGGTTAGTAAAGGTACTTTTCTAGGACTTCTAGCCATTAGTTTCCTTTCTCTTAGACGTCTTCTTACAGTTTCGACACTTGCATCAATTCTTTCTTTTAGGGCTACAGGAGACATAAACGGCTGGCTTTTCGCCTGCCTCACAAGGCGATCAACTGACCTTTCCGTCAATATTTTGGGCCGACCTCGTGTTTCCTTGGCTGGTTCATATTTTAGTGCATTTCTTATAACTGTCGCAGAGCAACCAATAAGATTTTGCACTTGGGTATATGTTTTCCCTTCTGATATTAGCTTTTTTATCAGAGTTCGCCTCTCGGCAGAACAATGTTTTCCCCGACCTATATCTTCAGGATCAAAATATAAGCAAGGATCTAAAAGGAGTAAGAACTGTTTCATAAAACCCTAAAGTATTGTTTAAGCCCACAAACCTTTCAAATAATATGTTGGATTTAACTTTTTTTTAAATTTTTTTTTGGCACTACTATTATTCTGACTGCATTGATCACGTGCTTAATTGCATGTAAAGACGAAAAACAATAGAAAGGCGTGGAATAAGAAGATGAAACTTCGTATTCTCAGAGTAAAGGTATTAACCGTTAGTAATGTGAAGAGAAAATTTTAAATCCCCGAAGCGTACACCTATTATAGTCGAAAATCTTTTTGCTTTACCAGCACTACTATTATTTTGACCGCAACTGTATATCGGTAGACTCGTCAATTAGCAGACTGAACTTTTCGTTGCCCAGGTCATGACGCAGATCTTCATTAAAGTGCACAGAAACTACATTTTTAATAAGGTTAATGCACTTGGTTTTGTGCAATTTAACCTTCTTGGCGTCAAAATGTGTCTTTAACAATTCACTTGCATAGGTGAACAACCGGCTCAATAGCACAATGCTGGGCTATAAACATAGCTATCGCAGCTTCTTAGCAACAAGTTTCTGATGATTTGACCAGCTCGAAACTAATTTTATTATGTTTCACTAAACTTGATGTATTTTGCACATGTTTTTTTGTCGTCATGTGCGTTCTTAATTGGTCAATTTTACAGTTAATACTGCATTTGCAGTATTTGCAATAAGCTTTGTTAACGTCTGAATTATGTCGGCTAATCTAATCTTTAAAATCGGGCTGCAGTAGCCAGCAATCCCGAAACTTTTGCTTATATATTTCTTTTGGCATTTTGAATTTAATACAAATTTTGAAATTCGCTCGTTCAGTACCAAAACAGAGAGTGCAAGTAAACGGTAAATTGAGTTGTATTTCGATTAATTTTTTACCAAACTTTTGATATAAGTATGGCAACCGCGAAAAGTTGCCACCTGTTTCATATTTTACAGCTGATAATAAATTTAAATTTGAACGCGAAAGCAACTATTTAAAAAAAAAACAAGAAAGGAAAGCTAACTTCGGGCGGAGCCGAAATTGATATACCCTTGCAGTTAAAACCGGATATATATCGCAAACATCGGATATAGTTGGCCGATCCTTATCTGAATAGGAATATATAATCCAATTTATTACAATACAAACTAAAAAAAGTCCCAAACTTCTATCTTCGAAAATACGAAAGTTGATATTTCTACCAAATACCATTTCCGATCGTTCAGTTATATGGCAGCTATGAGATATAGTCGGCCGATCCTAATGAAGTTTGGTAGGTTGGATTAACTGACCAAAAATAGAATCTGTATTAAATTCTAGCTTTCTATCTTCAAACACGAAAGTTGGGTCATTTCCGATCGTTCAGTTATATGGCAGCTATAGGATATAGTCGGCCGATCCTTATGAAATTTGGCATGTCGTATTATTTTGCCAAAAGTAGCTCTCATGTCAAATTTTAACTCTCTAACTTTAAAAACGTCAAAGTTATACCATTTCCGATCAATCAGTTATATGGCAGCTATAGGATATAGTCGACCGATCCCAGTCGTTCCGACTTATATACTACGTGCAAAAGAAAGAAGGGTGTGTGCAAAGTTTCAAGTCGATAGCTTTAAAACTGAGAGACTAGTTCGCGTAGAAACAGACAGACAGACGGACATGCTCATATCAACTCAGGAGGTGATCCTGATCAAGAATATATATACTTTATAGGGTCGGAGGTGTCTCCTTCACTGCGTTGCACACTTTTGGACGAAATTATAATACCCTCTGCAAGGGTATAAAAATGACAGATTTTCGGATGAAAAATCTAAAAAAAGGACAGATTTCAGGTATGCGGATGATTTTCAAATTTTTCCGGATGAAGCGTTAAAAACAGGACAGATCTGTCCGGAAAAAGGACAAACTGGCATCACTGATGAGAATATGAGCGTATGAGAGTAAGTATGAGATCTCCCCCCTTCAACATTTTGGTCCTTCGAGCCGTATAATTCCTGGATTTTCTTCTACCAGTTCTCAACATTGTTCCGCCAAAAGATAAGTACATTTTTCCGTCTCCGTCTCTATGCCGATCTTCAGCAGTGGTCCGAACATTAGATTTCGTTCACACTGCCGCAAGATTGTTTTTCCTTCCGTGTCAACTCCAAGTCCGAGTTTTCCGACAAAACGGCAGTTAGAGATTTTCTACTCTTCTTCGTCTTTAAATTCTTTAAATTTAAATTCGACGATGGTCTCCGGATAGTCTCCGTTTGTGTGCTGCCCATATGCCTCGCCGTTTTCCGCCTCTCCGTTATCCATTCGCTTGCCAACGGTCGAGGCATATGTGCATCCACATACACACATACATATTTTTTTTGGTGCAATTAATCCGCGAAAAATTCGCAAGTGTACTGGCGACTGAAGCCAAAGAAAAATTCAAATGTTTTTATATTTGGCGCCAAAGATCGTAAGCGTAGATTACCGATTAGGTAAACTAAGAGTTGCCATCCGAGATGCAGCTTCTTATCAGCTGTATGCAGGTATGCACTGGAAAGCTGTATTTACCTATGATGGCGCTGTGTTTGACTGACGTGTATTTCCGCTCTGGAATCTTAGGTTCTTTTCAATCGAACCTTCAGAGCAGAAAGACCTGTCCATGTAAGTTCCTTACCTTGGCATGTGGGAGTCATTGCTCACACATGGGTTAAATTCTTTTTTGGGTTATTTCTTTAGATTACCCAGATAAACCTGCCTAATCTGCCAACCCACCCAAGGAAGGAAGAAAAATAGGAACCCTTAGGAGTTACCGGCCTTGCCCAGGAAAATCCACCTCCACGTGGCTCATCCAACGGCCCGGCATCCAAGTGGAGCACGCCCTGAGCCGGCCCAGCGATCCTCAGTGTCCCGCGGAGCGCCTTATTCATCCCATCGAGGGATCGGCAACTCCGTGGGCCAGCATTTTTTTGATTGTGACAGTGGGCGGAAAAGCCTAGTGGGAGTGGAAAATGTGAATTTAACCTAAAGTCCCCAAAAAAACCACGTGTACACAGAGAAAAATATAAAACAAAAAACTATAATGGGAAAAATATTAAATAATAAAGATTAATGCTTGCGAGCTATAAAAAAGAAAAAAAAAAACGTGAACGAAAATGTGCAGAAACAAAAATTAAAATTTTTTTTTTTTTGGTTATACCAAAATTTTTAAGAGTAATACACTACAACCAATGAAGTGGGAATTTAAATAAATAAACCTAAAAATATAATTAAGCTAAAACAGTGCTAAAAAGCAAATTATTGGAAAAAGAATGAATGAAAAGGTGAAGCGAAAACCTAAAAGAAAATGTTAAAAGAATAAATAGTTAAAAAACGTTATAAATAAAGAATAAGTTAAAAATATGGAAAATTTATATAAATAAAGTAAAAAAATGTGAAAACGGGCGGCAAAGAGAAATTAGAAAGGCTCCTCGAAATTTAAATTGCTAATTTTTATTTTTTTATTTTTATTTTTTTGATTTTTTTCCTTTTATTTTTGTTTTGGTTGCTGAGTTTGGTTTGAAAGAGCAAGAAGCACTGAAAGAAAAGCTCTGATGTGTTACAAAGAAATTTAAATTATTTGCGTCTCAGAATTTCCCGAAAATTATGGGAAAAGCCCCCCAAAATTCCGTTTTCAGCACGCCAGCGCGGGAGATCGATCTTTCGTCATGGAAATGCAAGTGAGTTTGTTTTCTTAAGGGGTTACGAGGGTCTGGAAGCACAAAAAAAGCCCTATTTTCGTGAATTTTTTTAAAAGAGCCCACAACAATTTTACCAATTTTGTTTATTGTACTTGATTGAACATTACTTGAACAACATTTTGTCAAAATTTGAAGATAAAATATTTGAAACTGAGTTGTTAAGGCAGGTTTGAATTGCACCACACCAAAAATCGTGTCCTCACGGTAGGCAGAAAATCTCGGTCAATTTTTATCTGAAATCAAAAAACCAAAGTTTTTCTGTTAGTGTATGTGTCTAGCTTGTCTTTGAACGAAGGATTTTTTTTTTCATTAAAAATTGAATTTTTTATAGCGTTTTTTATAAAAAGTGTTATTTTTGGCATAAATTTTGGCCACATTTTGGCTTATAAAATGCGTTGTAATTGAACAAAATTAAAATCCTTCGTTCAACGACAACAAAAACATGTCTAAAAGAAGTGTGCAAAATTTGAAGTTGATCGGTGCAATAGTCGCTGAGAAATCTTGACTACAGACTTCAAAAAAGTGGTTTTGAGAAAAACGCGTTTAAAGTTTTAAAGCGGAATAAAACAGGGGAAATAATTTTTTTTTTACTTACATGGAATCATCGATTCCAGGTCCATAAAGGGAGGGTTCTGCTTCAGCTGCACGGTCCAAAAAGTCTTTTCTCTTTTGCCGAAGCTTCATTCTCGCTTCTTTGGTCTGTGCATCCGCTTTTTTCTCGGTTATGACACGAATTGCCGGTTATGACACGTTCGACGCGCTGGGCTTTAAATTTCTCTCATTTCTACAGTTTTGCTCGGATCGACTTGAAATTTTCAGAGAATATTCCTAATGAGTTGTACAATCGAATAAAAAAATTAAAAAAAAACGATTTTTTCAAGTTGCCAGACCCTCGTAACCCCTTAATTTATATTTACTTTTTACGAAAAAAAAAAAAAAATGAGCTGCATGAAATTATCATTTTTTTTGTTGGTGTAAGTAACATTCTCACTAAAACGAATTTTGCAAAAATTAGAAAGATGGAAAAAAGAAGAATCTAAGAACGGTTGTATTTACAGCGAGCTTATCTTTTAGTCAGCGAGCTTTGGCTACACTGAGAGAAATTTTGGAATGAATTTTATTTAATTTAATATTATTGAAATAAAAATAATTAGCGATTAGATGAGAATGAAAACATGAAAATATTTTAGATAAAAGAAAAGTTTTAAATACACTAAAAAAAAATTATGTTTGAAAATTTTTATAAAGACTTGAAAAAAATTTTTTTTTTTTTTTTTTAAATATGAAACGAACAACGCCAATTAACGAAATAGATTAACTTTATTTTTGAATTTCGCCTGCCAAGATTATTGCCACGTTTGGGATAGGAATTTAAATTTTTGTTTATTTTTTTTATTAATCATGCCATTACTTTAATAATTTTAATATCTTCTAACATTAATACATTTTTTACAAATATTCCTTAATATTTAGTTTTAAGTTATTGTTATAATTACTATATTGCTACCCCCTAATTTTGAATATTTGATTACAATCTTTGGTTATAATTTTCTATCGCACAAAACAAAACATGTATCTTTTAATTATTACCTTTTATAACGTTTAAAAAAAAAAATAATAATATAATGAATAACTAAACTTATAACTGAACCACGCTGTTGTTTCTCGGACCCTAGGATGTGAAGGGATCCTCAGAGCCATGCTCGAGCGGAGAGGGTCGTAGGTTGGGTAGGGCATAGAGCGTACACATTCCAACTGTGTATCGCAACCTTTCTTTTTATTTCTCACCTCTTTTTCTTTCCCTTTCTTCTGGTTTCTCTGAAACGGTCCTTCTGTTCTTCCGGTTATCGTTTAGCTCTAGATATTTTTACAGTTTTCCTGTTTGAGTATTTTTTTGTCGCAGCACGCTAATTTCGATTTCTAATTAATAATAATGTGTAGTTGTGTGGGATTCTGTACGGAGCAAGACCCCCACCCCCAAGCCGACGAGCCCGAGCCGGAATAGTAAAGCGTGCCCCGCAAGTATAGAATCCCGGATTGATCACCACTACCGTTACACGTTACAGATAATTATTTATTATTAATTAAGAAAAAGTGGCGCCCAACGTGGGGCCTTAGTGAATAAATTCAAGTTCATTAAGACTCGCGAAGGACATAATTTCAGAAACTCTTTGATTTCTTCGTTACTTTAAAATTTCACCTTTCTAAATTTTCGATTGTGTTCGAATTCCTGGAATTCATGCCGAAAGAATATCAGTATTCAAAGCTCGTTGGAATTGGATCATTAAGCGGAAATTTCCTACCTCAAGCAGAAGTGACTGGAGTTTTCAGTCGCAGGAAAACAGATTTAAAAATCAAAACTTCGGTTGATTTTCTGTCCGCGATCGAAAAACCAATCACTGAGCTACTCAAACTGTTCTATGAAGGAAGTTATCGATGAACAAAGAGGAAAATACTGGCACAACTTGCGAGAAGTGTCGTATCCTATCTTCGTAACTTCTGAATCTAAATTCTTACTACTGGAAGGAAAACTTGTTTACACTGGAATACGAGTGTAAGAGTACACCGTCCAAAACTTAGGTAGAAAGAAAGGATTATCTTTCGAATAAGTTTAAGTCAATTTGAACGAATTTTCTTCCAAACTCCATACACCTTTTGAGAAATGTAAGAAAAGAGAATGTACATATCCTTGGGGACGAGAACAACAAGCTAAGGGTTCAGTTTATATAAATTTTATTGAGTTATATTTTTCTTTATTATATTGAGATATTTTTTTTTTCTCGTGTGTCACAGTTTTTGAGAATTATTTGAGTATGATGGGGTTAGATCGATCGCCGAATAGGAGAGTCGGAAGTGCCTCAAATTCTTTGTGTTCTATATGTCAAGTTGACATTAGTTCAGCAAACGCATATACAACAACATGTCAGCACGAATTCCACAGAGAATGTATCGAAGCTCATTGGAAGAACAGTGAGAAGTGTCCAGTTTGCGAATCGGCATGTAGAGCCACAGCATCTAAAACTGCCGAAAAAGTAGTTCGAGAAACTCGAAGTAGATCTAAAGCTACTCCGCCGGTTAATAATCCTTTAGATGAGGGACCTTCTACTTCAATACGAAGTTCTAGCAATAATAATACGAATTCAAGTATTATTACAGCCAACGCAGTCGCTTTGTTAGCCATGGAGCAGAGGATGTTAGCCACTCTCTCTGAGAAGATGTCTGAAATAATACAGAATGCTGTCTCGGAAAGTGTGAATCGAGTGACGCTCACACCAAGTCCAGCTCAGCCCCAGCTCCAAGATCAGGTGCCAAGAGTTTTTGATAGAGTCGAAACTCCACGCTCTCCTGCTTCCCAACGCACGGTTGCATCTGAATTACTAACGCGGCCAGATAAAGTGGTCCACATTCTCAATGGTTGGAAAATTAAATTTTCTGGAGAAAGTATGTCTGTTGACAATTTTATTTATAGGGTCGAAGCCCTCACAAGGCAAATGCTGGACGGAAACTTTACCGTTTTGTGTAGGAACTGCAGTGTTCTATTCGAAGGGAAAGCCAACAAGTTTTATTGGCGGTACCATAAGGCGTACGGTGAAATCTCTTGGGAGGATTTTTGTGCGGCCTTACGACTTCAATTCAGGCACAGTAGAGATGATAATGACATAGAGGAAATAATTAGAATGACTAAACAGAAACCAAACGAATCCTTCGATAGCTTCTACGACAACATTTCAGGACTAATTGATCAGTTAGAACAGCCCTGGGAGTCAAGTAAACTTGTCCGAGTACTTAAAAGTAATCTTCGTCCTGAAATTCGGCATGAAATCCTGAATCTGGAGATAAAAACGGTGTCCGAATTAAGGGAGATTTGTAGGCGTCGCGAAGCATTTCTCGCTGATGTCAAGAGATGTAGTGGGTACACTAAGGTTGTTCCTTTTAGGCGTGAAGTAGCTGAATTTGGAGATGAAATGGTAGATCTCCAAGAATCAGAACCTGAGGGCGAGGCAGAAATCGAAGCCTTTTCCTTGAAATGCTGGAACTGCCAAGGCGAAGGACATAGGTATCAGGATTGTCTCTCAGAGAGACGTGTTTTTTGTTACGGATGCGGCGCGGCTAACACGTACAAGCCAAGTTGCAGTAAATGTTCAAAAACTCCAAGCAAGGCATATCGAAGTCGCAATACAAACAGAAGACTTCATATGCCAGTCGAAATCAGTCTACAATGACCGACCAATAGAGGACACTCTTCAAAGTGTATCTCTCTCTTCCCCAGACGAACAAATAGTCCCAGATAGCTCTCTGCTTCATAGAAAAATTTCAAAGTTAAGGGACGTCGCAATCCATGAAGTACAAAAGATAGCTAACGTAGCTAAACGAAATTCACGAAGGTTAAAGGCTTTTTGGAAAAATGTGAAAAGATGCAAAGACAGTTTGAAACACATTAATTCCATACCCGCAGGAACTAGAGATCCTCGACCGTTTCTACCGGTTCAATTGCTCGATCGCGTTGTATACGGTTTGTTAGATTCGGGAGCTTCGATTAGTTGCATAGGAGGAGAATTAGCTAAGGAAGTGATAAAGAATAAGGAATACCGAGCCATAAAAGGCAGCGCTGCGACAGCAGACGGGAAATCCCAAAATATAGTAGGAGTTCTAAACATTGACGTAGAATACGGCAATGATAAGAAGCCTTTAAAACTGTATGTCGTACCTTCACTCAAACAAGATTTATATCTTGGCATAGACTTTTGGAAGTTATACGATCTTCTTCCAACGCATTTAAAGATTTCGGAAATAGAATCGTCTAAGGTAGCCCGCCCAGATGAGGTGGAGCAACACGATTTGTCGGAAGACGAAAAAACTAAATTGGCAAATACTATAAGTTGTTTTCCTTCTTTTACTCAGGAAGGATTAGGCAGGACAAATTTGATAACTCACACTATTGATGTAGGAATGGCGAAACCCATCAAACAGCGGCATTTCCCTGTATCTCCTGCAGTCGAGAAGGCAATGTATACGGAAATCGACAGAATGTTGCAATTGGGTGTGATAGAGGAATCGGAGAGTGCATGGTCCTCCCCGATAGTGATGGTTACTAAACCAGGGAAAGTTAGGATATGTTTAGATTGCCGGAAAGTCAATAGTTTCACGGAAAAGGACGCGTACCCTCTTCCCCAAATAAATGGGATTTTGAGCCGATTACCGAAAGCAGAATTTATAACTAGCTTAGACTTAAAGGATGCTTATTGGCAAGTGCCTTTAGATGTTCAGTCGCGCGATAAGACTGCGTTCACGGTACCAGGTAGACCGTTATACCAATTTAAAGTAATGCCGTTTGGCTTATGCAATGCTACGAGCACCATGTCTCGTTTAATGGACAAGGTAGTGCCAGCTCACATGAGGAACGAAGTTTTTATATATTTAGATGATCTTCTAGTAGTATCTGCAAGTTTTGAAGATCACCTCGAAGTTCTCAGGGAGTTAGCATTGCACATCAGGCGTGCAGGTTTGACAATCAACATTGGCAAAAGTCACTTCTGCATGCGGCGAGTGCGTTATCTAGGTCATATAATAGGTGACGGCGGAATCCGTACAGACCCAGAAAAGGTGTCTGCGATTACCAACTTTCCTTTAGCAAAAAGCCTAAAGAACTTGAGAAGCTTTATGGGGATGTGTGGATGGTATCGGAAATTCGTGCCAAATTTTGCGTCTCTATCTGCTCCTTTGACAGACTTGATGACGACAAAACGAAAGTTCATCTTGACCGAAGAGGCTATAAGAGCGTTTGAGAGGCTAAAGCAGTGTCTTAGTGAAGCACCTGTTTTATGTAGTCCAGACTTCGCGAAGCCGTTCGCTATACACTGTGATGCCAGTAAAACAGGCGTAGGAGCTGTATTAGTGCAGGTTTCAGACGAAGGCGACGAGAGACCGATTGCTTTTGTTTCAAAGAAATTGAATAAAGCTCAGAAAAACTACACAGTCACTGAACAAGAATGTTTAGCTGCTATCGTTGCTTTAAAGAATTTTAGAGCGTATGTGGAGGGTTTGAAATTCAAGATAGTTACAGATCATGCTTCGTTAAAGTGGTTGATGTCGAACCACGATTTAAGTTCCCGATTAGCTCGGTGGTCGTTAGCGTTACAAAGATACGTTTTCGAGATCGAGCATCGCAAGGGTTCACTAAACGTTGTTCCCGACGTTTTGTCTCGCGTGAACGAAGAGGCAGTTGCTGCCATAGATTTGACGGAAGGACTTATTATTGATCTAAATTCCGAAGCTTTTAAATCGGAGGAGTATAGTAATCTGATAAAGAGAGTAGAAGAAAATAAACTAAATTTCCCTGATCTTAAAGTGGAAGACGGTTATTTGTATCGTAAAGCGGAACACTTAACCGGGGAACAGGTACATGACGAATACGCATGGAAGCTTTGGTTACCAAAGGAATTAGTGCCCAAAGTTCTTTCTCTAGCTCATGATAGCTCCTTGGCCTCACATGGAGGCGTACACAAAACTATCGAGAGGATTAGGCGATACTTTTTCTGGCCTGGTCTCGTTTCAGACGTAAGGGCTTATATAAGCGCTTGTGAGGTTTGCAAATGCACGAAAGCACCGAATTGTGTTCTCAGACCTCCTTTGGGGAGAGGACCGGAGACTCAGCGGTTCTTTCAAAGGCTTTTCGTTGATTTTCTCGGGCCTTATCCCAGATCGCGAAGTGGAAACGTGGGCATTTTTATCGTCCTCGATCACTTCTCAAAGTTTGTTTTCCTTAAACCTGTTAGGAAAATTGATTCTAGCGCAATTGTGAAGTATCTAGACAGTGAACTGTTTATGACTTTTGGAGTCCCTGAAGCGATAGTGTCAGATAACGGGTCCCAATTTCGGTCGAAAGCGTTTCGAGGATTAATGCGGGAATATAGCATTAATCATACTCTGACTGCTGTTTATTCACCTCAGGCTAACGCCTCGGAGCGTGTAAATAGGTCGGTCATATCCGCCATTAGAGCGTATATACGCCCGGATCAGAAGGATTGGGATGAAGTTCTGAACAGGATATCCTGTGCGCTGAGGTCTTCCATACACTCCAGCCTTGGAACAAGTCCGTACTACATGGCTTTTGGACAGCATATGGTTACCTCTGGTTCAACCTATTCTCTGCTCCGACGTTTAAATCTTTTGAACGATCGTTCGCTACGATTTGGCAGGCAGGATTCTTTCGAAATAGTTCGCAAACAAGCATGCGAGCAAATGTACAGAAAGCACGAGGAAAACAAGAAGCGCTATGATCTCCGTACTCGTAATGTCACGTATACTGAAGGTCAAGAGGTATATCGACGTAACTTTAAGCAAAGCTGCTTTCAAACTGGATATAACGCCAAATTCGGTCCAATGTTTGTAAAGTCTCGGATTCGAAGAAAGATCGGTAACCTCTACTATGAACTGGAAGACCTTCAAGGAAAAGTTGTAGGTACTTACCACGCTAAAGACATTCGACAATAGCTTCAGTCGGAATCAGTCTAGAGTATTCTCTCGATCATACCCTAGTCTGATTTTAGCGGGGGGGTTTTGTACTGGCGACTGAAGCCAAAGAAAAATTCAAATGTTTTTATATTTGGCGCCAAAGATCGTAAGCGTAGATTACCGATTAGGTAAACTAAGAGTTGCCATCCGAGATGCAGCTTCTTATCAGCTGTATGCAGATATGCACTGGAAAGCTGTATTTACCTATGATGGCGCTGTGTTTGACTGACGTGTATTTCCGCTCTGGAATCTTAGGTTCTTTTCAATCGAACCTTCAGAGCAGAAAGACCTGTCCATGTAAGTTCCTTACCTTGGCATGTGGGAGTCATTGCTCACACATGGGTTAAATTCTTTTTTGGGTTATTTCTTTAGATTACCCAGATAAACCTGCCTAATCTGCCAACCCACCCAAGGAAGGAAGAAAAATAGGAACCCTTAGGAGTTACCGGCCTTGCCCAGGAAAATCCACCTCCACGTGGCTCATCCAACGGCCCGGCATCCAAATGGAGCACGCCCTGAGCCGGCCCAGCGATCCTCAGTGTCCCGCGGAGCGCCTTATTCATCCCATCGAGGGATCGGCAACTCCGTGGGCCAGCATTTTTTTGATTGTGACAGTGGGCGGAAAAGCCTAGTGGGAGTGGAAAATGTGAATTTAACCTAAAGTCCCCAAAAAAACCACGTGTACACAGAGAAAAATATAAAACAAAAAACTATAATGGGAAAAATATTAAATAATAAAGATTAATGCTTACGAGCTATAAAAAGAAAAAAAAAACGTGAACGAAAATGTGCAGAAACAAAAATTAAAATTTATTTTTTTTTTTGGTTATACCAAAATTTTTAAGAGTAATACACTACAACCAATGAAGTGGGAATTTAAATAAATAAACCTAAAAATATAATTAAGCTAAAACAGTGCTAAAAAGCAAATTATTGGAAAAAAGAATGAATGAAAAGGTGAAGCGAAAACCTAAAAGAAAATGTTAAAAGAATAAATAGTTAAAAACGTTATAAATAAAGAATAAGTTAAAAATATGGAAAATTTATATAAATAAAGTAAAAAAATGTGAAAACGGGCGGCAAAGAGAAATTAGAAAGGCTCCTCGAAATTTAAATTGCTAATTTTTATTTTTTTATTTTTATTTTTTTTTGATTTTTTTTCCTTTTATTTTTGTTTTGGTTGCTGAGTTTGGTTTGAAAGAGCAAGAAGCACTGAAAGAAAAGCTCTGATGTGTTACAAAGAAATTTAAATTATTTGCGTCTCAGAATTTCCCGAAAATTATGGGAAAAGCCCCCCAAAATTCCGTTTTCAGCACGCCAGCGCGGGAGATCGATCTTTCGTCATGGAAATGCAAGTGAGTTTGTTTTCTTAATTTATATTTACTTTTTACAAAAAAAAAAAATGAGCTGCATGAAATTATCATTTTTTTGTTGGTGTAAGTAACATTCTCACTAAAACGAATTTTGCAAAAATTAGAAAGATGGAAAAAGAAGAATCTAAGAACGGTTGTATTTACAGCGAGCTTATCTTTTAGTCAGCGAGCTTTGGCTACACTGAGAGAAATTTTGGAATGAATTTTATTTAATTTAATATTATTGAAATAAAAATAATTAGCGATTAGATGAGAATGAAAACATGAAAATATTTTAGATAAAAGAAAAGTTTTAAATACACTAAAAAAAATTATGTTTGAAAATTTTTATAAAGACTTGAAAAAAATTTTTTTTTTTTTTTTTAAATATGAAACGAACAACGCCAATTAACGAAATAGATTAACTTTATTTTTGAATTTCGCCTGCCAAGATTATTGCCACGTTTGGGATAGGAATTTAAATTTTTGTTTATTTTTTTATTAATCATGCCATTACTTTAATAATTTTAATATATTCTAACATTAATACATTTTTTTACAAATATTCCTTAATATTTAGTTTAAATTATTGTTATAATTACTATATTGCTACCCCCTAATTTTGAATATTTGATTACAATCTTTGGTTATAATTTTCTATCGCACAAAACAAAACATGTATCTTTTAATTATTACCTTTTATAACGTTTAAAAAAAAAAATAATAATATAATGAATAACTAAACTTATAACTGAACCACGCTGTTGTTTCTCGGACCCTAGGATGTGAAGGGATCCTCAGAGCCATGCTCGAGCGGAGAGGGTCGTATGTTGGGTAGGGCATAGAGCGTACACATTCCAACTGTGTATCGCAACCTTTCTTTTTATTTCTCACCTCTTTTTCTTTCCCTTTCTTCTGGTTTCTCTGAAACGGTCCTTCTGTTCTTCCGGTTATCGTTTAGCTCTAGATATTTTTACAGTTTTCCTGTTTGAGTATTTTTTTGTCGCAGCACGCTAATTTCGATTTCTAATTAATAATAATGTGTAGTTGTGTGGGATTCTGTACGGAGCAAGACCACCACCCCCAAGCCGACGAGCCCGAGCCGGAATAGTAAAGCGTGCCCCGCAAGTATAGAATCCCGGATTGATCACCACTACCGTTACACGTTACACAAGTGAACAGTGAAATTGTGTGGTGACAAAAAGAAGGCATAATTAATATTGGCCAGCCGGGTGTGAATTAGTTCCGGAATTTCCATATTGTCCGAACAGTCCGCCGCTGTCGTAATATTTGTTTTTTTCTTCCCCAGTCAATGTCATTTTTTACACCACATAACTTTTCTGTTCCCCCAATTATACAGTCCACTTATCAACTCCCCACTGTGCCAACATATGCCCCACATGCCCTTACATATATCCGTACTTGCATGCATATCCATATATTTCCATATATTTAAAAACAATTTTAATTTTCTAAAACCAACAATTATAAATCGCCATTTCACTACAAATCCGTGATTGTGTCGCTTAAATTCTCAACCTAGCCGCCGTAGGCGTGTTGTTTTTTTGATGCTGTTTTTTTCCTTTGGGGTACGTGCAGGGTGCCGACGGCATACCCGGCTGCGTAACAAATAAATTCAAAACAATCAATTAATTATAAATTTATATATTTATAATTATAACCACCCCAATTTATTTAATTATTTTTTTTTCTAATTGAGCGAAGGGCCAGTATTGTTTTAAGTCACCTTTCCGGACACTCAATAATTAAAGTCGAAAATTATTTATAATTTAATTATCAACCTTCTGTCCAAATAGAGCCGCGGTTTTAATTCCACCTTTCCGGCTTCGGGATAATTAAATCCCGAATTAAAGGTTTCAACTCCACCTTTCCGGCGCCAAAATAATTAAATCCGACAATTAGTCAAAAATTGTAGGGATATAACGATGTCCCTGGAGTAAAACACCAACACTTTGCTTATTCTAGTTTATTTATTTGTTCTGACTAGATCCGCTTCGGATTAGAGCTGGAAAACAATCGATGGCACTATCGATAACATCGATGTTTCTTAAATTTTCTAAACATCGATGGTTCTTGGGCAACTATCGATTGTTTTTATTGTATCTGTGCATTGAGGGCAACGTGTAAGTAAAGTTGGTTAATTTTATTTTTAACTTTATTTTATTAAATTTTTGATCACATATGTATAGTTAAATTTATATGGTATCACATGTAAATTACTTCACATGGTAATAATCAATGTAATATGTTATGTTTTCGTATAACAAAAAATATTTTATTTTTTTTAGGCGCATACATTGCTTTAGCACTGCTGTCTAAAAAGTCTTATGCGTGCCAGCATCTTCCTGCGCTTCAGAGCGAGCGTTCAGCAAAGCTGGACAAATTATATCTGACAGGAGGTGCGCCTTAAAATCAAACATTGTTGATCAATAAATGTTTTTAGATAAGAATATCTGTCTTTAAATATCTCTGATCCCAAATAAAAAACTTCTTAATTGTTATTTTTTTTTTTATTTGAAAACATCGATGTTTCATCGATGTTTACTTTCAAAACATCGAAAACATCGATGGCCCCAAACATCGATTGTTTTCCAGCTCTACTTCGGATCGCTGCTGGTGTTCGACTGACTCCGCTCTTAACTCGTGATCAGCATCAACCAGTGTTGCCAATTCTTCAGGGCTTAAAAAAGCTAAACCCACCTTCGAAAAAAGCTAGAAATAGCCAGAAAATTTTGTTGATAGCTAAAAAATAACGCTAGAGTAGTGAAACAATATTTTTTTTATTAATTATTCAATAGGGCTGATGGATGAATGCGCGGCAATATACAAACACAATGCCGCCTCTTGTTGGCAAGTTTTTAAAGAGACAGACGCAACAAATGGTAGTTTGTTTGTCTGTGAAAATGCAGAGGACGATGCTTTATGTTTGGCTGTCTTGGCGTGTGCGTGCAAATCTGAAAGTTTTGCATTTATAGAGGATTTGCAATATTTGCAAAAGCATTTGCTATCATCAGCCGCATCTACACTCAACCAAGCTTTAAACACAGGGTCTTGCATCCACGCATTTCGCGGTTTTTGCTTATAAATTTTAGGCATTTTATTTATCACTCGCGCTCGTTGCAAAAATTGTGAAATACCTTGTTAGTGATGGTATAAGACTCTATTCAATGGATTTCATAGTAAAAATCGATAAGCAAAAATTGAATGCTCTTTTGGCATATCGATGTTTTTTACCATTGAAATGGAAAAATGCTATGAAGTATTTAAGTGTGGCATCGTAAAACATAAAAATACATGAAGATGGCAGATGTTGTCTAAAAGCTAAAATTACGCCAATTTTGCTTGAAAAATAGCTATAATTCCCGCTAGCCGCTAGTTCACAAAATATCCCGCATTTAGCTTTTGAAAAACGCCAGATCTAGTGGGAAAATAGCTAAATTGGCAACACTGGCATCAACCCTCATCCCCAGTGTTGCCAGAATTTCATGGACTCAAATAGCTAAATTGATAGAAAAAAAAGAAATAGAAAAAAAGAATTGCTAGAAATAGCTAAAAAAATATATTAAAATGCTAAAAAGTTTTGTATGTTATTTTTAAATTGTTTTTAATAAAATAATGCAGAAATGTTTTCAATATCAATGGTGTCCTCGACCGAATCTTTATATTTATCAGATTCTGATACCATTTTTAAATATTTTTTTGGTAATGTGTAGTTCAAACAACAAATTCCACTTCTTTTGAGTCTATTAGTATAAATTTTAGAATTTTAGTTTTTAATGTAGCCTATGGATAAAAAAG